ATCCAAAAAATTTATAGCTTTAATTATGATAAAAGACAATTAATCTTAGATCTTTATGCAATCAATCTAGCTACCATGAAATAAAACTAAATAAATCAAATATCAAGGCAGAGATTTCTAAAATGCTCTAAAAACAAATGTTAGAAAATTTTATGTTGATTCTACAAAAGTTTCTCAAAATTCAACGACATCCTAATTCAAGATAAATTTATAAAATATAGAATCGACTAAATAATGATCCGGAAGCTAATTTATAAACATATTTCACCTACATTAAGCCATTGATTTTTGATCGCGTTCTTCACTAATTTTGAATTCTTTTAAATATTTTCTCTCCCAAATAATGGTGTATGTTTCTTCTTATTAGAAGTGGGTTAGAGAGAAAGGCTAAGGGGCCAAAATATATAGAAATTCTGAATTATTGCTACCCATCATAGCTCTAAATTAAATTTCAATTTTAAAAGCTAAATTTAAAACTAAGAAATGATCACTGTATAACAATCATTTTAAATGCTAAATTAAAACCGAAACGATCAATTAATTAGGAGTAATTTGGACCATTAATGATAATTATTTTAAAAGTTGGTTCTTTATCCTTATCAATGGGGAAAGCTGCCGTTTCTTTTAAGTCTGAACGAGAACTTAGGCTTCGTTTGGTTATTTAGTACTTTTGCAAAAGATAGTTTTAAGAAACATTGATTTAGAAAATGGAGTTCTTTAACGGAGAAGCATATATAAAAAGCTTTCTCAAAACAGCGGAAAAATGATGAAAATGAAGTTATTGGGAACGTGATTTGACGAATCAAAGAAAGAAATTTGTCGTTTTAAAACGGAATAAGCACAAAAAACTTCCAATCAAACGAAGCCTTAGGCGTCCTATTCTCCTGAGCTTTTCAGCATTGCAGTTGAGCATATTCCAAGAGAGTTATCTCACCTATTCTCAACTATATATATTCATCAAGTGGAGTGAAACACTGTCCATCTCATAAACAACAAAAAGTGCAATCCCATAGGCACCTATGAAACTCTCTGAGGTTTCAATTTGGTCTTCATTTGAGGATTAATTATTATGTACGGATGCTGAACGCCGTCTGGAGACCAACCAAAATGTGTCATGTCACCCCTTGACTCGGTACCGCGGCTTGGTACTGCTCGTACTGTTGACGTGACTCATTCTGGTTGGTCTCCGGACGGCGTTCTGCATCCGATCTTCGCACAAAATAATTTCTCTCATTTGAGATAGCTTTCTTACTGCTTCTTAAAGCAACATTTAAATATAAAAATAAAAATTTGTGTACCAGAAAATTATTTTAAGAAGCAATAAAAATTTCGTCCGAAATGAAACATTATGTTTCGTTTGGAACGATTGGTTCTTATTGTTTCTTAAACTAACTTTCCAATTCTCAAACGAAACCTTATACTCTCCAAAACCTCCAATCAAACACATGGTGTTCCTTTGTTTTCTTCTCTTTTATGAGATATTTAAACAGGTGGTTAGGAGTTAAAAAGCTTGGCCACTAGTGGAGCAAATTGAACAAAATGCCACTTTATCTTCTTCAAAACTTCAGGACCACCTACCAATGTTATTGAAAGACTTCACATGGGGGGGTTCAATAAATTTTTTTTCAAGTGGTACTCTTTACTTTCACAGGACTTAGTCTTTTGAGAGCTCCTTTTTCTTCCTTTATCTTCAGTTTTTTTTTTAATTTATGAAAAATTAGTTTTATAAAGTAGAAAAAAAATGTCTCAAATAAAACCTTATGAGTTATGACATTTTCTTACTGTTTTATAAAGTAGCTTTTTAGTATAAAAATTTTTTGTTAAAAAAAAAATTATAATAAAAGTCTAATTTAGAAAGCATAAAGAAAGATGTTCGAGAAGAAGCTTTAATTGAGGTAAAATTTTAATAGATTCTATGAATAAAGATTTAGATATTTTTTAGTGTTGAATAATAAAAATTGTTTAGCGTGATATAGTAATTATTGCTTAATTTTTTTTTTTTTGCCCAAATCACGTTCTACTTGATGAGATTTAGGTTTCGTTTGGGACGGCTTTTTTATTGCTTTCTAAAACGGAGTTTTAGTACAAAAATAAAAAAATTTGTACTAAAACTCTATTTTAAAAAACAGTAAAAAAGCCATCTCAAACGAAGCCTTAATGATTTATTAGGGTGGTGAGGTTCGAATCTATGATAAAAAATACCTTCCGAAGTCATTATTAACTAAATTTGTTTGCAGTTTGCACCCACTTTTGACATTATAACTAATACCTCTAAAAAAATTTGTTTGATCAACATAATTTTGGAGGTAATATTTGGATTAAAAGCTTTCAAAATTGACTCCAAGATCAATCAAACTCTGGTTTTAGCAAATTTATAGTCGAATTGAACATCTCGATAAGATGAACTCATCAACACCAGAAATGATCTGATCTCATTTCTTTTTTTTTTTTTGAAAAATTCTGGGCATAACCCTTTTCATTAATATGAACTAGTTACATGTAATGAAATAAAAACCTATAAGAAAAAGACCTTAACAGAAGTAGCCAATGCTCAAAAAAAGGGAAGAATACAAAAATCCCCTCTACAAGAGAGCATACTAAAAGGAAAAATACAATTCAATATCTAAAAGAGCAATTCAAGAAAAATAAACTGAAACATGAAGAGGGAGGCAATCAAGCCTCGGGCTCAGGAATTGCATCTCTCTCAACCTGATTGCAGAAAAAAAACAGCCAAAACTTTACTGCCATCTTAAGGAGAGAATAGCAATTCTATCATCCTTGCCTATCTTCCACAACATATAATCAATGATACACACAAAACAGCAGAAATGGACAAGAGGAGGCCACCAGAAAAAGCCAACAGAAAGACCAACCCTAGCAGCAACGCACAAAATGGCAGAAATGAACAAGAGGAGGCCACCTAAAACACAGTCATTGCAGCAACTCCAAAAACTACTTCCTTATAGCAAATCCATCAGCAAGTCCCCATTTTTCCATTTCATAATCTTTGAGAGTACAGCAGCCTTGATTTTATGAGCTAAGGTAGTGGACGATACCAAAAATTGTTTCCAAACTTCCTTTCATTCCTTTCTCTCCATATGTGATAAACCGAGCAACAAATAAAAATATAGTAAAAATTCTTATTCTTGCTCTGCGTTTCATCAATATACTAAAAAAATTACAAAATATTTGGCCTTAGTAGCAGATATCCCAGGTTGCTCATAAGTTTAGAGAGGATAGAGAAGGAATAGTCACATTCAAAGAATAAGTGGCTAACAGTTTCATTACTGCAGTGACATAAAGAGTATTTAGTATTCACATTAATCCCCTTAACTATAAGAATATCCGCAGTTTTTAAGCCCCCAGTTAAAACCATCCAGCAAAAAGAAGAAAATCTAATAGGATAGCGTTTAACCTTAGCAAAATCTTAAAATGAAACTCTCTATAAGCTCTGTGATTGCAAATAATTACATTACCCCACAACAGGTTAACATGAGAATCCAGGAGCACAAGAATATTAGAAAAAGCTCGATGAACTGCTTCAGGCATTAACGCAGGTAAATCCCAGCCATACCATTTAGAATTACTGAAATTTTTGCATTCATAAGAAATATGCTAAGAATGGGTTGTACCTCCACAACTTTATTTAGGCATTTATACTTAAACCAATGATCCCAATAAAGAGCAAAATTAGAGTAATCTGATCAGATTTCAAATGAGTTTCAATCAAGCACGTGAAATATATTTGAAAACATTTAACATTAATTGAGTGACCAAACAATCACCATGTATTAATTGCATAAAGTGAAATTAAGCGTCTTAATGAGATGAATCTGAATAGTCGAAGATCATTCGATTTTAACATCATGAAGGTAGTTAGAGATTTAATGAATAATCTACAATCAAGAAAATTAAGATAGACTGTTCGATAGAATGGTTTGGATTATGACTAACTTTATTAAAATGCCTATCTAAAAAAGGCTTTAAATATGTCATTAGTCTCTATATGAGGCAAGAATGGAAGGGCTGAGAGAACTAAAAAACTCTATAGCAATTTCCGGTGATCACTGCTGACGGCCAAAATCTCAGAACTCAACTCGATATGACCCACAAATATAGGTCACACCGTGTTGGATGGTGACAGAATAGATCAATATCTTTATTTGGAGAAATATCTAATTTCTTTTCAGTTAATAGACGTCAAAGCTTCTAAAATTTTCTGCTATATATATAAATTTGTTCATCCACAAAATTCATTCTTTCTATTTATCCACTAAATTATATAATATAGATTCTTACTATAACAGTTTCTAGTAATAGATAGACACAAGATAAGAAATATAGAAATATCAGGACTGTTCAAAAATCTAAAACAAAAATAAAAAGGAACTTATATGCCAAACATTCTAAAAAATTTTGCTTCAGCTACTCAACTAGCCCTTTACTTTTATTCTGACCTAAAAATGAAATGCATAAAATAAAATGAGTTAACACAATTCAGCAGATTACATTATGCTAAATCATTTGTTAATAATTATAAAATCAATAACTTAAAATAAATTAGTTTTTCCAAACTTAATAATTTGCTCCAAAAGTGATGTATTCTTGGAAGAGTTTGAGATAAAGAGATTTTGAGAAGAATATAAATGATTGCAAAAGAGCAAAGGAATACATAACATAAATAGAAAGAGAGAAATTATCCCTCTATGAATTTAAGAAATCCATCATTTATCTCTAGCTTACATTGAATTGTTAGTATTTATAAGAAAAAAAATTATGTCCCAATATGATCATCAAAATTTTTTTGGGAATGAGAGCTATCCGCTGCTTTTCTAAATGCAGTGTTTGGCGGTGTAACTAATTCCTTTGCAGAAACTAACGAGATCACCCAATGGCATCGGTCACACACTTACTTTGCCCCATTGAAAAGAAGAGCCCATAATAGAAAGAATTTCAATATGTGATGGAGATTTCTAACTGTGTTGATCCACCAACCATCCTAAAACTCGGTGGTGTCATGGAAAATATTTACCCCAAATACATTCACTAATCTAATCCGATTTATAATCCAGAACTAGGGTTTTCAGTCTTGATCCCATACTAAAAGAGGCTTCCAATGGCATGCGTCTCCTTCTCGCCGTCCTGGACCCTCTCATGTCCTCCTCTCCGTCGCTGTTCTTCCATGTTTAACTCGAAACAGATCCCAACCCTATCTGTCATTTTTGTTAGAAGTCATCGGGGACCGGCGCCGGCGGCTGCAGGGTTAAAGAGGTATTGGGGGACGGCGATGAGGGAGCTGAATCTTTCAAAGATGATTGAAAAGAAGGTGGCTGAGGCAATGGATGTTTGTAATGGGGAGGAAGGCATGAGATCGGACGGCTGCCGTGTGGCCTGGGACGAGGTTGAGGAGGTGAGTAGTGCGTTGGCCGATCTCCGCCGCCGGCTTGCTGATTCCGCCGTCGACCCTCTAGAGCCCTTCTGTCTGCAGAATCCCGAAGATGAGGAATGCCGCATCTACGAATATTGAAGGCGGATACATGTAGAATCGCCTCCCAGATGCGGCAGTAGCCATGTAAATTCTTTTCGCCTTACCTTTTTTATTTTCCTTCCCTGCTTTTTTTCCCTTTTCTTTTTTTATTTTATTTTATTTTTTTTGTAGAAATTAAACCATCGATCGAAATGGGCTAGCTTTATATTTTTAATCCATGGTGAATGGACAAAGATGGTTAAATTATTTGCATACTATATTGAGGAAAAAAATTAGCCTTTTTGCTTATTTAGCTCTTAAGGGAAAACAAGCATCAGAATTTATTGAATTTTCTATTTATATGTAACCATCGACATTAGATAGATATGCGATACTGCAGTATTACTGATCGTATATGAAGTAGAAAGACATTTGCTTATAGTTGATTATACGAGCAAGATCTTTTAATTCATCACTTTCTGCTATAAACATCAACACATCATGAGCAAATTGGATTTTGTGTATGTGTTTTCTCGTACTTCTAAAGCAATATGACTTCAAGAATTGGTTGCAAGAAAGAAGCAATTTATTAGTCTTTAAATAGCGAAAGTTGTATGATTCAAATAAATCTATTTTTAAGGTTATAATTAAGATTGATAGCATTACAAGACGATGCTGTTGTTGGTGGTGGTATACATGACCATATCCTCTAAAGAAGAACTAACACAGCTACTAGAATATAACTATAGGACAAAGTTTGGCATCAAATTTTTAATCAATTAAAAAAAAGGTATCAGTTGAATCATGTTTAGGAATTAGGATTAATAAATTCCTACAACAACAACAATAACAAGCCTTTTATCTCACTATGTGAGATCAGCTACATGAATATTTTTTCTCCATTGTGTCCTAAAGTGTCAAATTCTTATTTAAATCTAATAAAAAATGACATTTTTTTTAACTTTTTTGCCAAGTCTTTTTGGGTTTACTAGATTTAATACATCTACTCTCCTAACATGGTTCTTTGAAGATTGACGTTTTATGTGACCAAATCGTCTATGACGACTCTCTCTAATCTTAGCTGTCACTAGAGCTACTCCTAACTCTTCATGTATATATTTGTTTCACATTCTATCATTTATGATGTGTTAATTACAGATAAAATCAAATAAATTCATTCTTTTTTTCATCGCAATAGTATTTTCTTCTCTCCCCCCACTATCGAACATAGGGCTTCAATCGAACCGAACCGAGCTTCAGCCTGTTTGTGCTCGAGCTCGGGTCGAAAGCTCGTCGAGCTTTTTAGACTGCTGTTCGAGCCCACTCAAAATTCACAAAAAAAATTTTTATTTTCGACCAACCTAATTAAAAGACACAAAATCTAACCCACCCGATTTATGTCCATACCTTGCCCGCTTTGTAGCAACCAGCAAGCGCATATATGCTATTTTATATAGCAACATGATATATTTCTAGGCAGTGTGGGACTAAATCCCCTTCAGCAATTTTTTTTTCTATGATCACGGAGGAAAGAGAGTGGGCGTGGTCTGTTTAAGCAAATTTTTTTTTCCTGTGGCTGTTCAAAGAATAATGCCTTCTCCAAACACGTATTTTTTTTGTTTGCTTTTTATATAGCAATAATTTTTTCAATACAGCAATAATAATATATATATAACCTTAGATTTAATTATTTTATTAGTTAAATAAGATATAATAGTTAAATATTTATTTTTAATTAAATAAGACATAATCAAGCTTTTTAATCGAGTTTCTTAACGAGAATGTGCACGAGCTCTAAACGATCTTGTTCGTGAACATAAACGAGCCGAACGCCAGGGTAATCAAGATTTGTTTATTTAGTTATCGAGTATTATCAAAGTTGTTCAAGCTTTTTCATTTACATTATCAAATGAACATAGACAAGCTCTTATCGAGCCGAGTCACGAGTAGCTCGTCGAACGAGTAGAGTCAAATACTCGAAGAGCTCGTTCAGTGTTTTTGCTTTTGGATTTTCTTGGGAGGAAACAACGTCAAGCAAGAAGAACTGTGCCAAGAAAACACAACTAAATTGGAGATGGAGATGGATTAGCCCTATTAAAATTTTAAAAATTATATTTTAATAATTAATTGAGATTTGAGAATGAAGTCGTTAGCTAGTAGTCATTTTGTTTGATTGGGCAAGAGTTTGAGATTATTTATTTGAGTGGATAATTGATATATCACTATAAAATTTATTTGATAAAGCATAAATTTTGAAATGAAATTGGAATTGAAAAACTTTAAAGTTGAATTTAATATCATTCTAATTTTAATTTAAGCAAATTCATTTTTATTTAATTTTATGATGTTAAATTTTTTTTAAAATCAAAATCTTTTTCATTATCAGTTGATTAAAGTGTCATTATTATATCACAAATAAAAATCATTTTTATTTAATTTTAAAATGATGATTCTAAATTTTTTTCTTAAAACTGCTAATGTCCGCCTTAAAATGGGATAAATGAAAGGTTGAGGGTATTTTAAGGTTCAATAATTTGTGCCTCCACATGAAAAAAATTCTGATTCCGCCCCTAGGTTTAGCCTAATGCGCTGGAGGCATTATTTCGACTCTTCGACGCTCTCAACGTTCGATCTCACGGTCTCGCCTCTCTACTCTGGGCTCTGGCTTCCTGCCTTCCTCTCCAGTCTCCTCCATGGCTCCACCTCCTACCTGAAGCTCTCCTATGTTCTTCTATCAATATATCTTTAATCTTAATCCCCTAGTCTAGTGTGTTGTGTGGCTGTGTGTACTCTGTCCCTCCATACCATTGTTATCATTTTTTTATTTTTATGAGTTTTGCCATTTAAATTTTAAGGTATTTCAATTTTCACACTTTCTTTTTTGATTTGCTATTTAGCCTATTAGCTTGTTACTGTTGGTTTAGAGTTTTCTTCCTTCCAATTTAAAGTAGTTAGTGTTTTGACATGCCTGTTAGGGCATCATTTTTTTTCCATTTTTTTTCATTTTATTTTTTAAGGATTTGTATATTTTAGGGTTATTAGGCCTCTTGTTGAAGGATTGTACTCCTTGCATATCCGATTTTTCGGGGCTTTGTTACCTATCTATGGTCAATGGTGGGGAATGGGGATAAATGTTGAACTTGAAATTCTTGAACCATTGGATCATTGTTGTGCATTTCATCATTTATTACGCAGTAAATGCTTAATGCTTCATCTTGTTGTTAGCACTCTCTGTTATACTGTTATATTACTTGCGGCTTGTAAACTTGTTGGTACTCTATCTCTGACGCTCTGTTATACAGTTATTAGGTTATATACTTATATTTGCTGGTTGCTGTAACTGTTGTAATTAGGTTATATACTTATACATGCTGTCATTAGTCAATTGCTTGCAGGTCGGGTTTGGTTGACCACTTTGAGTAGGATTGGGTCGGGTTGGGGTTGGGAAAAGTGACCTGAATCCCAAATCGGGGCGTGTTCGACTCGGGTAAAAAATTGCCGGGTCAAAGTCAGGTTGGACCCCCAACCTGACCCATGGACACAATTTGACACCCCTAATTTTAGAACTTCGAAATTCCCTGATGTAAACCTTTGATCCAGTCATGTTTTGGTCTGAAAACCTCTGGTTAAGGCTTGGGATTAAGGAACCATGCTATCTAACTTCTCAGAACCAGCCTAAACTCTTTATTAAGAATTCTACTTCATTTCAGCAATAAAAATTTTCCAGCCAAGACTTCTCATATATTCCACCATCTTGGGGTTTCTAGGCGTTGCAATAGTGAAAATGTCAAGGCTGACATAGGTCGTACCTTAGAAATTGTGCTTTAGATTTATAATTTTATTCCCAAAAGTTTTGCCTATGGCCTCACATATATTCAGCCGGAGATGTCTTTGGCTCTTCCTCTTTGATATGTTTCAATCGCAGGATGTTACTGCAACATCTCTGAAGCTTCAAACAAATTAACAAGATTAAGGTTTTGTTTGCTTAGAACTACGGCTACATGCTACTGAAATCTTTAGAGTTGACCAAAGGCTTTGTTCTAATTGAAACCTTGGAGCCAACTTCTTCAAACTATTGCAACCTTCTAAGTTCTGCACATAACATAAAATGATAGAAATCAAGGTTCTGTATTGCCAGCCCAGAGCTAAAAACTCTTATGTCATCCCAAATCAGAGCAGGTTAAGGATTCAGTTAGGTGTCGCAATCTTATATTGGCAAGTCCTTAATTACATGATAATAATATTAAGATTCTGTGGTAATCCTCGGAATTTGTCTTTGCTCACTCTGATTATTTTGTTTTGGTGTGCAAGCACTTCTAATGAGTTGAGATTTTAAATTTAACCCAAATTTGGCCAAGGTCTCTGACATAGATTGAAAAGATCAAGATTCCAATGTCAGTTGAAGCAAGATTTCTATCAAAATTTGTTGAGCTGACCCAAGGCTTGCTGTATGATTAATACAGCCTTCGCCATTCAATGCTTGGGGAAGCTCCTTGGGTAAGGTTGCCCAAGGTTACTACCAAAGATGTAATTCCCGTCATAACTAAGGGTCCATTGTAACTAGAGATTGATAACTTGATAAATTCTAATAGATGGAAAATATGGAATCTTAACAAGGCTAACAAATACTTTCTTGAACCTTTTACTCAAGTCTTCCAAATCAAGCACGTCTTTCTAAATGTTTAGCCTAATGATTTTCTTAATCAAGTGTCTTCTCATAGATCAGAAGAATAATTAACTTTAAGGGTTTACCTCCATAGGAAATCTTAATCCCAAATATAACCTGACTTAGTGTCCTGAAAAATCTGATTAACTATATCTAATCTATCTCAACAAAATTTTTTTTCTTGATTTCTCGCATATGTGGGGTACTGGGAATTTGGTTTTTGTTTCCTCAGCAGTGAACTAAAATAATTTAATTGCTTGATAGTAAACTAAGATATTTTGATGAAACTAAAATTTATGCTGACATTGGTTGAAATGATCATTTTTAATGCATTTTGTTGCTATCACATTCTTAATAATTTTCTCACACGGCCCTTGGATAGTAAACTAAGATATTTTGATGAAACTAAAATTTATGCTGACATTGGTTGAAATGATCATTTTTAATGCATTTTGTTGCTATCACATTCTTAATAATTTTCTCACACGGCCCTTGTGAAGGGGAAATTGTTCTTTGTGGAGTCCGAACATATGCATAAGCTCTGTGTATTTACTGCGTATTCGTAGATACGCAGTAAATAAGCAGCAAATAATTAGTTGTGAAGATTTGCTGCGTATTTACTACACAGAGTGTAAGCAGTTTGTACGCAGTGCGTCCAGTAATCCAGAAGATCCTCTACGTTCGGACTCCACACCGAATAATTTCCCTTGGGAAGGGCGAGGCAAGGCTATAACCTCGCACCCACTCACTTGCGTTGAACAGCCAAATTGCTATCATATTTTTTTCTTAGATCTTCCCAACATGTCTGAACATCCAAAGTTAAGCAGTACGGTTAAATTTTGGATATACAATAGATGCTTAAAAATGGTCAAAGCAAGGAGAAATTATTATGTACCGACGTCGGATCGCAGTTCTACATCCGGATGCCGCGGTACCGAGCGGTATCGAGCCGATGTACATATCGGTACCGAACAGTATCGAGTCACGATACAATAAAAGGGTGACATGATGCATTCTGATTAGTCTCCGAACAACATTAGACATCCGCACATAATAATTTTTCCAAAGCAACGGATCTGTATAAGTAGTTTGTTGTCTAAATTTCTTCTAACTTTTCAAACAATTAGACGCCAAGATCTGTTCGTTCAGACGCAGGAGTTGGGCAATTTGGCATTGCTCATTTAAGATGAAGCGTAAAAGTCATGAAGTAATTGCTGTAGCTCACAATTCCCATCGTCTATAAAAACTTAACTTCTCAACTAAACAATAAATTAAAAAAAAAAAAAATTGTATTGCTTGATTTCTGATCAGACAAACATGTAGGTGAAAACTAATTTCATTTCAATTACTTTTATAATTTTTATTTTCATTTCTTTTAGGCTTCATTTGAGGAGAAATTATTTTGTGTGGTTACCAGACTGTCTGAAGACGAATGAGAGCGCACCACATCATTCGGTACACAATAGTACATGGCAAAAAAATGATGCGACTTGTTCTCATTCATCTTTGAATGTTGTCCGGTGATCGCATAGAATAATTAATCTCATTTGAGATGATTTTATATCACTATTTTTTTTATGCTTTTAAGAATTTTTTGTTCTAAAACTAATTTTAGTTGAAATTGGTACGTTTTCTTAGATTAATTTTTGTTATTTTTATAGTGATGGGCAGGACTTAAATGTTCTTTGGCGAAATTTCTAGTTTTAGTATCTATATACTTTTCTACGC